AGAAGATTTCACCTAGGGTTTCAAGCTAAGGATCCAAATTCTCAATTGAAGATAGCCAATTGGGTATGCTAGCTTTCATCCATGGGTTCCTTCCACCCATGGAGTCCCCAAATTTCCTCTATTTCAAATAGTAGAATTACCCAATTAGCTAGGGTTTTCCTCTAACACCATGTGTTCTTTTGATTATTGATCTTAGTAGTTTGATTATATCTAAATATGCATGAATTTATGATTTACAATGCTTTTATGATGTTTCCCCTATGAATCCATGCAAACCCCCATGTTTTCCAAATTGTGATCTCATAATGTGGGTTGTCGATTATGAAAGTGAAGTTTTGTGATCTAAAGCATGAAGTAATAGAATTACATGAATATATGATAAAATACCTATCTAATGTTAGAATTATAGATTTGGTGATTGAAAGTAGCTTTGAACCTTGAAAGGGCAAAGTATGAGTTTATGCATGATCTTATGAAACCTATGTAAACGCTTTAAGTGTGCTTTGAGAATGAAGTGCTAATGTTGTTGTTGTGTTTATTGAAAGGTCATTCTCATAAAACACTTACAACCATGATGTGAAAGGTTTTCTGATCACATAGAAAGGATTCTTAGGTTGAAAGGCTATACTCACCTAATTGAATCAATGAATAAGAGTTATCTTAATGAACTAGCTTGGATTGGCAAAATGACATGCCTCTCTTTGGATAATGAGAATAATAAAATACTATTCCGTGGGAATTAAGCTTAGCACCGAGTGGATATTTACATTTAGATGGGAGCTCTCCCGTTAGTAGAGGTCGGGTTTCTAGAAGAAGTCTCATGAGATGGAAGCTCTCCCGTTAGTAGAGACCGGGTTTCTAGTAGCAGTCTCCATATCCCTTAAACTATGTTCCCCTGTAGGTTAATATCTAGTGGATCCACTTAGGCTAGATGTTCATGGTTCTACCTTAGGCAAGTAGAACAACCCTTTTTGGTGTGGGAGATACCGGGTGATCATGTTTTAGCTCACATGGTCTCTATGTCGGTTAAGGCTAATTTTCCCACAATAAGTTGATTAATGGACTAAGGTTACTTAAAGAAAAATGTCATATGTGTTCAAAAGCTTAAAAATGATTTAGCTTGCATTGACCATGAAGTTATGATCTATGTTTTCCAACTATCTCTATTATGATGTTTAAACTTGATAAATTGCATAGCATGAAATGAAATGTCCTTCTTAGTATGTTTTAAATATTTTTATGCATAGGTATCATACTTAGTGCATTTTTTTACTAACACATACTCTTACCTACATTTTCCCCAAATGTAGGGTCTGACAGACAGGGTTTCCATTCTAGTGGCTAGCTAGAGCTTGGACTTTGATTCTTTCCGAGCTTGGTGAGTCCTCATGGTTCGAGGACAGACATTCCTTTATTGTAGTTTCATTTTCGTATTTCCTTTTTGAACATGATGTATGGGCTAGGCCCACTTTCATTCTATTGTAATAGATGTCTATGTTGAGACATGAGTTAGACTTCTGCTTTTCTATAAAACTCTTTTGGACTCAAAATGTGGTTTTACTATTTATTATTCTAGTACTTTATGTTATGATATGCTAAGTGTCTTATATGGAGTCCTTTGGGGTTCTATATGCCATGTTACATCTAGGGGGTACCCCTGGGTCGTGACACAATCCCAACACTACCATTCTCCATGTAGCTTCCATCAACATTGATCTTGTAGTTCCTCATCTCTGGTTTCTGCCAAATGATTGGTTGGATAGCTACCTTGGGTTTTAGCATTTTAATATTGCTACAAATGGATGGACAGTCTCCAATAATGTTGTAGGTGGAATAGGTTGTTTGGAGAGTAGGTTGGATGTTCCGAATGGTACGATATTCCATTTTGTTATTAAACATCTTCCTTTGGTCACCAAATTTGCATGTTGTCCATTCCTTCCAAATTTCCCAACATATCATCACTGCAGCCATTTGTAGAAGGAGTTTGTGTACATTATTGTCAACTTTCATGTTCCACCATTGGCTGAATACTCTTCTGATTGGTCCAAGATTATGGTTGATGCTAGAGGTCTTTCAATGTGATTCCATATGTGTTTAGCTTCCTCTCCCCCAGTGAAGGTGTATTGAATGGAATCTTGTATCTGTATCCTGCAACATAAACAATTTCCATTAGATTGTCTACCAAATCTAGAGCTAGTATCATTAAAAGGAAGTTTTCCAAGGCAAAGTCTCCAAGATAAAAAAATATAATTTAAATGGAATAGCTTTGTGCCACAGATTTCTCAAAAAAGGATCTTTGTTCTTTGATAGTCTTGTGAGGTACCAAGCAGATTTATTGATGTATTGTCCATCTTTTGTGCAGTTTCAGACGGCTTCATCATTTTGCTCAAGTGGACCGATATGGATGTCAACAATTCCCTCGACAATTTGGTGAGGAAGAATAGTCGAGGGCTTGTTCAAATCCCAAGTCCCATTCCTGATGAAGTCTTTGACATAGAATCTTCTCATATTGCCCTCAAAAGTGTGATGAATATTTGCTAGAGGTCCAAGGTTAGACCACGAGTCCCACCAAAAGTTTGAACTTCCTGAGTTGATGTTCCATTTGATGCTATCTCACTACAAGAAAACTGCCCAATAGCGAAGGGAAATTTGGTCGCTATAAGTAAGAATCTGGTCCCAAAAAGGACAATAGCGACCAGTTGCGCTTGTCCTTATAGCCTTAGTCGCTAAGGACCTTTAGGGACAAGATTATCGGGTCGGTCGCTGATTCTTTTTCGGGACTAGGTTAATACTGGTCCCTAAAATACATTTATGGACCATATATCTGGTACCTATTTGCACATATTGAAATCAAAATTATGGTCGTTAAATCATTTTGCGACCAGTTTGAAGCTGGTCTGTAAATCAGTTTGCGACCAGTTTTTAACTCGTCTATAAATCAATTTACGAAAACTTTTAAGCTGGTCCCTAAATCATTTCGGGACCATTTTGAAGGTGATCCATAAATCATTTCGCAACCATTACAGATTTCCTACTCAAAAGGATTTTAAGGATTTACAATCTAGTCCTTAAATCACATTGCATTTGCACCTAGAAAATACGATAATTAATATAAAACTTGTTAGCTTTCATATATAATATATAATGTAATTACAAAATAAGGTGAAGTATAAGGCATCTGACTATATACAACAATGAGGTAAGCTAGTAACAATATTGCGATCATGAACGCTTAGCAAAAAATACATAATACTAGCCTTAAACTATAATCCAAAGTTGCCTTCACCTTCCCAGCAAAAAATGGTCAATCTACATGTTTAACATCGGCTTTTTGCAAATTTCAGCATCCAAAATCTGTATTATTGATGGCGTGTTGAAAAGTTAACTCATTATGCATCCTGAACAACATAAGGAATAAAATCTGGCAGATTAAACTTACTCGGCAAGCTTGTCTCACACTAAGATCATCTTCATGAAGATGTAAAACCATCCGTGGGAAAGCAGCATGAGCCTGACGAGTAGAAAAAAGGAAGATCATTTCTTGATAAAGTTCAATACAAGACAGGAAATAGATTAGATATTGATTAACCAAATCAAAAAGCGAGAATTAAAGAACTTTGCTCTGCGTACAACAGAAATGGAGACTAAAATAAATCATATCTCATTCAAAATTCATCTCTGACCATGAAGATGTGGGATATATAGAAAGGGTATATCTACTACTCTGTTTTACCCAAGAAAGTAAAGTTTGATGATAAGTAGAAGAAAAGTATGAGCTCCTTCAAATATACAGAGAGCAGATCAAGAAATGGGGACCGTAAAACAAAATATTCACTGCCAACAGAGGCCTCACGAGAAATTAAGTAATTAACAGACCTATTAACAACAAAGTTTAGTCTAGATTATGCTCCTATTTTAGAGATCCCAACCTAAGGCATTAAATTGAAGGTTTTAAAATTAAAAAAGATGCACCATAAAATATAAACAAACACATCTTGGAATTTCATGATTCAGTAAATATACATGAGGGGCAGCTATTAGTGAAAAGTGACCTATATTGTCAATAAAAAAAATGTTGATCCTTCAATGAAGAAGAAACAGTTGAATATGAAACGTCCTTTACACATGCTCAGTTGAAATGATAAAGCCAACACAACCAAAACATCCTCGTTTGAGACTAGTCTTGACTTGTGATGTTGGATATGACACCTTATGATGCAATTAAAATTGATAAAATTTAAAAGAACATCTAAAACTATGTGCTAATGAGAAAAAGATACCAAATCAAATTTAGGTGGTGACAAATGGTTTAATGAGAGATAAGATACCTGCTCAAGAAAAGAGTCTCGTTGAGGCCCAGTTCCATAAGTGCTCAGTGCTCCAAATGCAGCATAAGCATTGGCTCGTATCTTCTCATTCATGCACTCATATTCATGCACTCCTTTTATAAGGCAAGAAAATAATGTTATACGCTATGGCCATCTCAACATGCACTTGCTAATATTTCTATAATCCACAGATTAGAAGATAATGATGTAACATGTGCTTCTTTCCCAAGAGATAAATCGCACATCGATATGAACTAATTTTCAGAGACAAAATATAAAACCTACCATTAAATTACTTCAGCTCTTTTAGAACTCAGACTTCAATTGTGGCAACCTATGTTGTTTGAATGCTCCAAAAATGTTGATGCACCCTGTGTCGTATCCTCCAAATGTACTACTTTTGGAGGATCCGACATACACTCGTCGGCATTTTTGAAGAGCCAGAGCAACATAAGTGGCAACACTAGCACAGTACAATATGTGGGTGTCACTCATCTATTTAACTAGCACATACACTTAAGGGGTATAATATCAAATTAAAGAAGAACTTGTATCAATAGACATGTCTTGAAGGTTGACAAATAATGCAAAATATTATGTCAAGGCAAAAGACATTACCCTAGGATGTCCAAATAGAGTTGTGTTACTGTCCTGATACAAAAGTCTTTTTAACACAATGCCACCTTGTTATCAGCTCTAAATAAATAATTTAGAATGTGATACAATCGGACTAGTACAGTAATTCAACCAATTTGAGGCTATTACCAGAAAATCTAAAGTTGAAGAAATTTACGTTTGGATAGTGAATCAACTTACTTGGAGATTCAGAAGCCGTATAGAAAGGTTCAGGAGAACAGGTTCAACCGCATCCCTGGATGAGGACTCGAGAACCTACATAGTAGGATGTCAGCAGAAAACATTCACGTGAAGGTAGAATATAAGATACTAACAAAGACCGAGCAAGCTTTACCATCAGCAAACATGATACTGCAGTTAACTGACCGACTCATCTGAGTCATCGATCAAAGCTAATATCACCCCTAGGATTTGAGTAGTATACTGGAGAACATGGATAGATGGCATCTGCAAGACCAGCAGGCAGAATGAACCTCAACCCAAGAGAAGTGAAAATATACGGTACTTGAGCAAGGACTATGGCGGCGTTCAAAACTTTACTAATTTCTCATTCTTTCAGAGTAGAAATTATATGCACCTAGCCACAAAGGAAAGGGAAAACAAAGGAAGGATTTTTTTTATAACTAAAGCAGTAATTACGAAATGACGCCATGATATTATTTGACTGAGGAAATCAAACTGAACCAGAGGGACTCCTAATGATAAAATCAGGAAAAAAAAACTAGAAAATTCCTCGCGTAAACATTTCTCCTCCTTAGAAGAAAAGAAAAAGAAAAAAGAATACTCTATGACCAAGAATACCTGGACAAGCCCTCTTAGACAGAGGCGCCTAACAGTAGGAGAATCATCCGATACATGCCGACAAAGTGCTTGCACCATCTGTTTTAATAGGGGACCAAAGCCATCACTGCAAAAATTTGCATCCACAATCTTAGGAAGCTTCAGACATGAATAGGATTTGAGACCATCAACAAGAAAATCACTATGACGGAACAAAATATCAGTTAAAACACATTTGAAGGGTGTAAGCTTACAAGTTACAAAGCTTTCTGTTTAGTTGTTTTTCCCCAGCACCTGCTAGGTGCCTTCATCATAGTTCATTGTGATTCATTAACTCGGTAGGGATCCCATGTCGCCTTTTCTCTTTGTATTAGCCATGGATTATCTCACAAGGGTCTTAAAAAGCCTTCATACTAACCATGAGTTCCATTACCATCCTAGGTGTAAGAGACAAAAAATCATCCAACTTAGCTTTGCTGATGACTTGTTGATGTTCTGCAGGGGAAATATAAAGTCTGTGAGCTATCTACATAAATGTTTTATGCAATTTTCAGAGGCTTCAGAACTGGTGGCAAATGTAGATAAAAGCAGTGTGTATTTTGGAGGAATCAAACAGCCTGTTCAATGGCAAATGTACCCGTGAACTCGATGACTACACAAGTTAGAAACATATTGTCATAAAATAGTATGAGTTTCCAGTTAGCTTAATGTTGCTATGACGATTGTATAGTAAAACATCAAGAATTACTTATATTGTGACGAGTAAACTGTAATTGCAAACGAAAATTTACAAGGAACAAAACTTAGTCAAAAAGTTAAAGTTAAGAGCGGAAGAAGAGCTTACATGTTCTAAATGAGTTTGTTATCATCACTTGAAAATCCTTAAATAGCCAAAAGTCAATTTCTCTGTAAAATTTTATCTACGAGTTAGCTTTGAAGAAGCAGAAATTAGAAGAATCTGATATTAACAGAGCTCTTCACAATATTTTCTCCATTAGAATGAGGTTAGTACTATTCAGTTGTGATCCAAATTTATAGACTATTTATCATTCTAAAATGGACTAATAACATATTTTCTTTTAATTGAATACGTGCTGCTATATATAATAAAACTAAAAGGTCTTAACAGATGCGACATCCTAAACCTACTAGTGAACTTCAAATAAAGACGACAAGTTTAACTCGTAGACATCCACGTGGATGTCGCATAATATAGTTCAGAACACTACACACTGCGAGTTAAACTATATTATGCGACATCCACGTGAACTAATGACCTTTTTCATGTTTCACAAAGCTAAACTTATCAACAACTTCTCCAACAATTTTTTCTATCAAACTACACGAGGATCCAAACAATTTCAATAAAACATATAGCATCTAATTGAAAACAACAACCACCAAAACAACAATGACAAACAACCACAAATTTCCATGTAGCTTAAGATTTCAAAAATGCGCCACAAGTAGTAACTTTAGAAACCAATATGCAGCACTAGTTGTAGTAGAAAATAACAATTAAAACAACATTTGAAACACCAAAAAAAGGAAACTACAATCAAATGCTTTGTCAATGCTCATTCACAATTTCGTTTCTTTCTCGTTTAATCTTTTTAGTGTCACATTATACTTAAAAATTGAATACAATAGTTATATAATAATAAAAACCCATTCAAATTCAAAGCACATAAATTGGGAATTGAATTAAAGACACTAATGGTAAAAATATTCTACATATTCATCACCTGATGGAAAATTTTTTTTGCAATGCCAACCTTACCAAAATTTCTTGGCAGCCCTAGCAATTATTCAACCCTTTTAATAGAGAAAATCTTAAATAAACTCTCAAATATCTCCTCTTTGAACCTCAACCCCAAGCCTTACCTATAAAACTATCATTTTCAGTCCTTACACAATAACAATGAGTATCTATAAGAGCCCAATCACATAAAATTCGACCAGCAGAAAGAAAAATGGCAGATTTACAGAAAAAGAAGAAGGGGGAGATGAATCAAGAGGAATAAAATGACTTTAGATGTAGATGCAAGTTGTAGGTGAAACGTTTTTCTTCCAATAATGCCTTCAAGATTCAAGAGTAAGGAGACTTCAGAGCTATGCACAGCGATTTTGGCATATTGCTAGAGAGAGAAAAAAAAATCTAATAGCTTTATCAATGGATTTGGGGGTTTTAGGTTATAACTATAGAGAGAGAAAATTTTTTAGTGCCTTTTAGTTCCCGCTGAAAATTTCATTTAGGGACGAGTTTATTTGTTATTAGAAAATAATATAGTCAAATAGAGACTAGTAAATAATATCATCCTTATAAGTATAGTTTAGGGACCATATTTATAACTTGTCACTATATTTTGGTCTTTAATAAGCCTTTTTGTTGTAGTGTCTTCTGCTTTATCCCTAGTCCATATGAGTTTTTTCCATGCTTGAGAATTTCCTTTTGACCAGTTTTTTTGGACAATGTGTTTCCTGGAGCAATATTTAGCTTGAATGAATTCAAGAATAATTTGTCCTCAATCACTACAACAAAAACAACCTTTAACGGGAATAAATATATACATTAACAAAGAGTGATAAAGCCTTTACCGAGTGCTAAATGCCGCTAAAAATACATTTTTAATGGCAATTAAGCTATTGTTAATTAATTGCCACTAAAGATTATTTTTGATGTAGTGAATCTCTACCATCTCTTTATGGCAAGTGTGTTAGTGATGTCTTGGAGGCTTCTAATGCCCACTCCACCCTCATCTTTCGGAAAACAAAGTTTATCCCAGGCAATCCAGTGATACTTTTTTTTTTCAGTAGTAGATCCCCACAAAATCTAGCAATGTGTTTCTCAGTAAGATCGATAGTTCTTTTGGGAGGGTTAAGAGCAACGATGGTGTATGTTGGAAGAGACTGAAGAACACTCTTTATGAGAACCATCTTTCCACCATATGAAAGCATTTTCCTTGACATCTGTTCATTCTTTTGACTACTTTAGTCACCATGTTATCAAAGTAGACAATTCGTTTTCTTCATGTATAAACAGGACATCCCAGGTTAGTAAAAGGAAATGGTTTATCCAGGAAGCTAGTGCAATTTCTTAGCATGTTAATCCTACAAGGACTAGTTTTAGAGCAAGTGAGGAAGAAACTTTTGTCCTTATTAAGCAATTGCCCTGATGCTTTATCATAGTTTTTGATCTATTTCATAATCATCTTGACAGTATGTGATTTGCCACTGATTAAGATGACGATGTCATCAACATAGGCTAACTGATTGATTTGGGGGCCTAATTTATTCATTGAGAATGGTATGAAATCTTCCTTTTCATTGAGAGTGTTAAGGGATCTTGAGAGAACATCAGCTGCAAGAATAAACAAAAAAGGGTGAGAGAGGGTCTCCTTGTTTGAGCCTTTGAGATAAAGAGAAAAAATCACGCCGAGTACTATTAATAATGATTGAGTAAAAATTATTAGAGATAATTCTCTTAATCATATTAATCCAAAAAGTATTGAAGCCAATTTTTTCCAGAACCTCATAAAGAAAATTCCAAGATAGCCTATCATAGGCTTTAGCCATATATAATTTAATAACAATGTTACCTCCCTTGTTAGGTTTGGCAATACATGGGCAATTTCGGAGCAAGCATCACATTCTCTGTAATAAGTCTGGTAGGCACAAAACCACTTTGATTCTTAGTGATAAGCCTAGACAACATAGGGTTAAGCCTCCTGGATAAGATTTCGGAGATGATCTTGTTAGTGTAGTTGAGACGGATAGGCCTGAAATCATTTAATCTAGAAGGAGAGTCAATTTTAGGAATTAGAGCTATGCAGTATGAGTATAATACTTAGTGAGCTCATTTCCTTTAAAAAAATCTGCAACAAAATTCACAATGTCAGTTTTGATAATATCTTAACAAGTCTGATAGAAATATCTATTGAAGTCGTAAGGACCGACACAACTATCCTTGCTCATACTGAACACGACCTCTTGGACCTTTATTTTTTAAATCTGGAATCTTGGTCAAAAACCCTTTGTCATTCTTGGTGATAATCATTGGTATACAATTAGTAATATGTTTGTTGCTAGTGGTTTGATGGAGGTTAAAGAAACTCTTGAAATATTTAATGGCAACTCTCGCAATTTTATCATCATCCTGCACCCACTTATCTCTTTGATTTCTAATTCTATGTAAATGTAACCTTCTTCACCTATCCCTCAAAATGTTATGAAAGTAATTAGTGTTACAATCAGAATCTTTGAACCATTTCCTCTGAGTCTTTTGTTTTAGAAGAGAATCTTGAATACCAATCCATCTAATATATTCAGCATAACCCTTATTTAGATCACTTCAAGCTTGTTCAATATTATCATACAGGTCATCATCTTCTAAGGTAAGAAGTTTGGCTTCTCAAGAGTTAACTTGCTCATTATAATCTACCATAGTATTCCTAGACCATTGTAACACCTCAGATTTGGAAAGGAAGGAAAATGCAGATTTTTAGCTAGTGTCTGTGTCTACGGGTCCCATCTACAGACTGTAGGTGCTCATACGAGCCGTAGATGGAAACCGTAAGTGGTGGGAAAAATAATTTTTAAAAGTAAAGTTCAAATACCCTTTTTACGGCTCACCAGGACGATTCGTCATCCCATATATGAGTCGCAGGTAGGTCTCGTATGTGAGTTCCATATTTAGTGAAATTTTGAGGGTCAAAGTTGGGTTCTACGGATGACATGTACAACCGTAGGAAGACCTACGAACTGTACATGGGATCCATCAAAAGTGGGTGAATTTTAGGGTCCAGTAACCCATCTATGATTAACCAATACGATCCGTCGAAGGACCTACGGACCGTAGATGGGGACTGACAGTTATTTTAAAAGAGACTTTTGGGTCTTTTCCTATTTATTTTAAACCCAATACTACGTCACTTTACCTTATGCCCTAGGACCTATATAAACGTTTAAAACCCCCAAATTACCCAATTGAACTCATTCTCCTAAATTCACAAAAGTTTACCAAGTTCATCCTCCCAAATTCTCTCAAGTCTAAGGAAGAAGAAGAAAAGCTAGGGTTCCATTCAAGTCTCCAAATCCTCCATTTTCTTGGGCTTTGGTATCAAGGTATGTGTGCATTCACTCATGGAGTCCTTTCTTCCATGGGGTCCCTAAAGATTTCAAGTTTCCAATTCGATTCTCCAATTATCAAATTAGGGTTTCAATTCAAGGAATGTGGGTTTCTTCCAATTATGATTTATTGTGATCAATTGAGTCTTCTAATGCATTATTTGATGTTAATCTATGATATTTAGTTGAAATTTCACTTGCCCATTCTTCAATTATGCTTTTCAACCATGATCTTATGATAAACCCATGAGGCCATGAACGATTAAATTATGGAGATATACATGTTTTCATGAAGTCATTATTAATGATTTAAGGCTGCTTTGTGAGTAAAGCATTGATATTGTTGTTGCGAAAGGTTATTTTCACATGAAAGGATTCGTAGGTTTGAAATGTTTTCTTAACTACAGAATTAATCAAGATTTAGGAGTTATTTTAAATGAAATCTAGCTTGGATTGACTAATTGATTATGAATTTCCATGGATAATAAGATGAATACGATTAATAACTATTATGTGGGATTTATGCTCAGCACCGAATGGACTAGTGGCGATTACCCATGTCACATAACTATGTGTCACCATAGGTTTGTCTTAGATAGACATTAGCTAGTGGATCCACTTTAGCTCAAGTTTATGATTCTTTCCTTGGTAAGTAAGGACATCTTTTTCAGTGTGGGATAGGCACTAGATTCCATGTTATAGCTCACATGGTCTATGTCGGTTAATGACAAACTCACTACAATAACAAACTAAGGTTACTTTTTAAAGTATATCAAA